AACATTTTAAGAAGGTAGTTTCTAACAGAGAGAAATACACTAATTAATCTAATCTTAATTTCCAAGAAGGGTAGGGCAAGTAATCATTCTTTAGCGTCTTGTTTCCCTTACGTAATGCTTAATCAATTGTAAGAAATTCCTAGAAATCTTTAGAATCTTTACCTTTTGATTATCCCTAATTTTTTTAAAGAAAAAGTGTTATATAGTTTAAATTGTAATGAATTTCGTAACACTAACTATGAAATGGAGATTAGATTTTCTAATATTGGAGCCCTCTCCCTATTTAATTTTCCATATTTTATAGTCTAATATAATCTAAAATATAAAATAGAATTCATTTTCTTAATCTTAATCATATGTTTGGATTGAAAGGAATGAAGAAAAGGGGAAGGTAAGGGAGGGAAATTGTATTATTTCATCCCTTTCTATTCCTTTACTTTTATTTAGATAAATAAATTAATTAAAAATAAATAAAGTTACCTTATTTTTTATATCAATATCACATCTAAACTTTTAATTAAATAATTGATAAAATTAAAATTATTAGTACTTTTTAATTTTTAAAATAAATAAATTAAAAAATTATAATAAAAGCTTTCCCTATTCTCAAAAAGGTTACTCCTAAGTCAAATATACACCCACATGGCCAACCCATAATCCAAACAAGAATAGGTGTTAGTCGGTTGTTAGACTAAATCACATAAAATACACATTGTCTCACTCTGTAGTAAAAAGCACTCTTGACTTTGATTAACGTTAATTTTGTAGTCCCAGCTTGGACCAACTAACTTAACTAGAAAAAGTTTGACAATTACACAGATCCGACAGTTTCATTGGACCGTCCGTATTAGTCCAACTCGATCGAGCTAACCCATTTCGCCACGTGGCAAATCACCGTCCTCGGAGCCAGATGCTGACACTTGGCACCTCTTCTCTACGGCCCTTGAACATGGAATGGGTATCCTGGGCTCCACCCAACTACCAAATATTAAAAAAAAAAGTGATTGAGAGGATTTTTTTCTTTTTAATTTTTTTATGCCAGCTGTAAAGAGTTGGCTCTAGAAGTGTAAGCCGGCTCTAGAAGTGTAAGTCTATTGTGTTAACAATTCTGCAACTCAAATTAAGTGACTTGTAGAGCATTAAATGACCCCCAAAAGCTAATAATAGTTATTTTCAACCATGGAGTTATAAATATGGTTGGTAGAAGATCTGAAGCAAGGTTAGAGAGCATAGCATTGAATATTTTTACCTACCTACATAAGTTTTAACTTGAGTTTTGGATCTTTGAAACATCTTTACTTATAATCATCTTCTTGTTCTATTTGTGAGTGATCTTGGGGGTGTGATTGTTTTTTCAAAAGTGATTTATAGATAGGATTGTTTGGGGTTATCTTGTAAATGAGTGAGATTTGAGAGAAACACCATTCTTCTTGTAAAAGGATTGAGTGGTTTCTTTAAGTCACTATTGATTTTGTTAGTGAAAAGAGTGGAGGAAATCCTTGGTGAGTGAAGCCAAGGTAGAGGATTAGGTTCCAAATGGTTGAACCAAATCTCTATAAAATCACTGTGCAAACCCTTCTTTCATATTCTCTCTTTGATTTTTGTTTGGTGGTTGTAAAGAGATGAATATTTTTCAACTCCAATTCACTCCCCTCTTGAAGAACATTGAGTCAACAATTTATAAAAAAAA